CAATAATTTCCTTTGATTTTATTAGTATATTTATCACATAAACTTTTGCAAATATCAATACTATTCGCTTCTCTATTCTGTTGATTTTATAGTCAGTGGAAATTAGTTTTCTATAAATTGTATGCATATGTTTCTAGGGTATTCTTATATTCGCTACCATTCACATTTCTCCCCACATTGTTCCCTCATTTCCTATGCTCACTCGTTGGCTTTCCAGCATGAAGCTTTTTCCTGTGGTCTTCTCTATTGTGGCTCTCCTGTTGTTATTGCTTTTATTTGTGTGCTTACCACAGAATAGTATGAAAAGCATATATAAATCGATCATATGTATATGGAAAACATATACACTCGGTCATACCCCCACTCAGTCATGTAATGATTAATTAGACAATTTCGGTATATATTGCATTATTTTTGCTTATATCGCTCGCTTTGTTGTGTTTGCTTGGCAAAAGATAGAACCGACTGCTGAAATGTTTTCGTGCACAACTTATCTAAAAATAATCATTAGAACTTGAGCCAAAAACAAAAAAAAATCTAAAAAGTGTTTTAAAGGCTTATTTAGCCGCTGAAAAATAAATGGAACTGCGCCAAGCGACGACTCTACGACCTTGAAATGTGCGTTTGTCTAGGGAATTGCGATGCGTAAAGGCCTGAATTAAAAACAATATCGAATGGTTAATGGCTGAAATAAAAAATTTCTGTTTATGTGCCATAAATCCCTGGATATATGTCTTTCATCACTGACAATGCTGGCAGCTTTTCTTTCAGTCCCTCTGATTGACATTTAGCAGAAATTGATCTTCTGAAAAGTTCCTTCCGCCGGGCTTAATTCCCCAACGGACTTATCCCCTGTTTATTGAGAGTTGTTTATAATGACCCGGCTGCTGCTGCTGCTTCTGCTGCTGGTCTTATTTTTTTATAACCAAACAAATCGAAGGAAAGATGCATAATTTAGTGCAAATACTGTTTACATTTTGTGTCATTAAGGGTCTGTGAGAAATGTATTGAATCGTTCTTTCATCTGTTTGCTTCAATTGAATTGAGAGAAATTATTTAATTGGTTTCATATGTCAGGGCTTTTCCGGTTTGTTGAATGTTTCATTAATTAAAATTTGTGTTTACGGTAATGTATTAGTAAGCTAAGGTTAAATAATGTATAATTTAAGCTTCAAGTGTAGTGATATCATTCTTTTAAATAATATTTAATATATTTTCTACTTAACAAATGTATAAGGATTTTTTATAGTTACTCTCCTCTTGTTTCTGTATATTTTTATTCATTTTAAATGTTTATAACTAAAAGAGTCTCTTATTAGTTAATGTTCTTGGAATTTCCTAATGCTTCTCATAATAGATTTCCTCTGGCATACTTGAGTGAATCTTTTAAGTTCAAATATGTCGAGTAAATTGCATAAATTCGCGGCTGGCCACTTGACTCGCGCCCACTGGAATGTGTGCCTTCTGGCTTGTTGCTAAAACAATTTGTTGTTAAATTGCAATTAAAGCAAGGCAGAGCAATAAAGTCGCTGCTCCCCTGACAGCCCTTGCCCATTTTAAATGAAAAGTCAGTGTCCATCGTGTCGACCTAAGCGCGAAATAAACCAGATACAACGATACAAAGATACAATACAGATTGATATACACAGATACGCAGCAGCTTGAGGTTTAGTTTTTTAAGTCGAGGCAAGTGTTTTTTGTTGTTCTCTCTCCAAAACGCAGCTAATTGAAATGCCAGTTGCCAGTTTGGACTGGCTGTTGTTCGCTTTAATTACGCGCATTTTCATTGGACATGTTTTTGTGGGTCGCCATGGGTTAAGACAGGTTGCCGCTACCCAAGTTGAGTTTTCCAAAAAAATTCACTTAAAAGGCATCAGCAGTAGGAGCAGCAACAGCAGCAGCAGCAACAGCAACAGCAACAGCAGCAGCAGCAGCAGCAGCACAGCAACAGCAGCAGCAACAGCATCAAACACTGACTGCAACAGAGAGCTGCCTAATGCCAAATAAGATATTTCGGAATTTCAATTATTTTCCATCGCCCAACGCTCACCACCACCTGTCCGTCCGTCGGTCAGTCCCACTGTCCGCTCAGTGTCACAGCATCGCATGCTGCCCACTGTGCACAGCATCGGTTTTCGCCTCGACACATGTCGCGATTTAGCTGAAAAAGTCCGAAAACCCAAAACCCAAAACCCGAAACCCAAACTGAAACCCAAAACCGTCATTATGAGCTCGGCTGACCGACTGCGAACCCGGGACATTGAATTTTCTTGCCTTGATGTTGATAGATCTCTCATCGAATTGGGGGGGGGAGGAGAGAGTTTTCCAAAAGTTTTTCACCTGGTGGATGCCCAGATGATGTCTTGGTGGGGAAAACCTCCCAAAACACTTTCTATTGGTTTCTGTCAGAAAATGTATGTAATTTGCTCAGATTCAAATTTGTCTTGGTGGAAGTTTGTGACAGTTTAAATATATATTGCAAAACACTAAAAATTGTAGATGAAATTTATAAATAATTTATGTAATTAGGTTATTTACAATTTAGAAATATTGAAGCAAGCTGGCATTCATAAATCATAGGATAATATTAATAACATATTAATTTTCAAAGGATTCCTAATCGAGGCTTAGCTTACTTTTTTTTGTTAATTTTTAAGGCATATTTATTGAATTCTTCGAGTAATTCTTCTTCTATAAAAACCTATTTAAATACAACTATTCAAATTCATTCATCCCGCACCAAATACTAAACTACTTTCCTCAATTTGGGAAAATCCACTCGTTCAGTTTTCACACCCTAGAGAGTCGGGGGAAAAAAATGAGCGACAGGAGGAAATTTCTGAATGAAATCACCCGCAGTTGAGTTTTTCCGACACCTATAAAAATCCAAGTGCAGTCTTTGGGCTGGGAAATGGGAAATGAAATGGGAACCGGAACGAAATCCGGTCATATAACTACTGAGGTGGTCGGTTTCTCAGTCATAAAATCGACCCGTCACCGCATGAGGTCCTCCCTGCGTGTACTTGTTGCGATTCCTCGGGGCCGTGAGAATATATTCAGACAGAATCGTTGGAAAATCCGCAACACAGGACTGGGAACCTCTGCCTTTTGGCAAATATTTCTTGGCCTTGCAATTAATTGGTCGTAGCGAATGTCACTTAATCGCCTAATTGCCATGAGAAATATGTCCCTTGAAAAAATAATGTGAGCCTGTCGTGTGCCAGACTTGTTCCGAGTCGTGTGTCATTGAGATATTTGAGATCAGGTGCGAGGTGGTGCCTTGGTCGAAGGTCTGTCATTAATAATTATTAAATATGTTCTAGGAACAGCAGAAAAGCGAATGGGGAAAGCCTAAGAATGTTCATAGCTTAAGGTCAGGGATGCAATTGGATATTTTTATAAATTAAGGTACGGCGTAAAATAAATAAATGTGATATTTTAAAACTCAGAAAAATCAAACTTCAGGAGTAATAGATTGACGAGTATTAATATCTTAAATCTTAAATGTATTTAAAATTCTATATTTATATATAATATATATATATATAAAAATACTTTAATTTAATCACTTCAGTTATTGAACTCGCCAGTTTTGTAATGATTCAAGTAATACATTTTCTGCAAATCTGGTTTCATTTACTTTACAGTTTTTGGTATTTTGCTTCATTTGTAAAAAAATTGCACAATCATTTAAAGCAAATGAAACCGAAAGCCAACATTTTTTATCCACTTTATCCACAACGAATTGGTCTCTTTGACTAATTTGTTAATCGGTTTACAGCATTAATTAATTTCCTAATTTAAGAAGAAAATTTATAGTGATTAATTCTGGTTACTATGTTGTCTTTATAAATTAAAACTTCTGTTTATTTATACATTATTTAGGTACTTGTCAAAGATTTAATAAGATTTGATTTGGCCACGCTCCAGTGGCTTCAACAAATTGAATTCACTTTCAATATTGAAACTAACATCCCGGAGTAATGATCGCGTTGACAACTCCGGAAGACAAGCTCCTCTTTTTTACCTCACTTTTCAATGGAGACACGAGACAAATTTCGCTCATTGCTTTCTCGTCGAGCAATTGTCGTTTGGCAAACATTGGACAACTCGACTATAAATTTATGCGGCAACATAAAACCGTCAAGCGTTGATTATGGCCACATATCCGAGTGTATACCCCAGACACAGACTCTTGGCTTTGGGTTTTGGGTTTGGCCCCGCAGCTTCGATTTCCATTTGAAGTCGCGCGTGGCTTGTAAGGAAATCGGGTGAATTATGGACAAACACACACATAAGCTGGTTGCCCCGATCGATGGATTGATGATCATGCCGGTTACTGAACTCCCCCGATTGGATTCGCATTTTTAAACAGTTGTAGTACAAATAATAGAAATGATAACTGTGCTTAAATAATTCTAAATTGAGTATTGTAGCCTCTATTATTTTGTTCCCAACTGTATGTTTATACCTGTATCCATTCGTATTCCCCCCTTCAACCTTGTCAAGGCCAATTTGTTGGCTTAAAAAATTGGCCACGCATACTCTGTAATTGACAGCCTCTCCGATCTCTGGGATCTGGGATCGGGTAATTGATGATGATGACCCTATGGCCTTATTAGCTGGTGACGGTGGGCGTGGTTCAACTCACACCTAGGTTAGGTTAGTGTGCAATTTGCTTTCCCTTTTTGTCAATGAAATTATGCAAAAGAAAATGTATTGCCGCTGTGGTTATTTATCATTTCTTAAAGTACTTTTTCTTCACCAAGTCATTACTCATTTTTTGTGAGGAGAAGAGGAGACTTTTGGATCCCATTATTGGGTGAATCACGGTTAGCTCATCATCATCATCATCTCCAGCGACAGCTAGATTTTCATCTGTGAGTTTAACGAGCAGACACTTTCGCCGTCTGATGGTTGCGTAATCCCAATGATTATAGCTTATTTGTGTAAAAAATAAATTGCAGTGCTTATATTTATGAATTTATTTGTTATTCCAGAGTCCCTGCGTTCTGGCGTGGATCAAAGCGAGCTTCAGGAGCTGAACAATGGAGCAACGCCAAGTGGATGCCCAACTCCTCCGCCACCATCAGCAGGAGGAGCAGCTCGTGACTCCAAACGTTCGTCCATTGGCAGTGAGTTGCCCTGCGAGACGGAGGCCAAGCTGAAGAAATGCGAGAAGCAAAAGGAATCCAAGGAGCCTTCTCCGGTATCCCAGGATGCAAGTGCTGAGAGCAATCCTGTCAGCTTTGCTTGTACAAATGAGGTGAGTTTACCATTAACAAGAAGAGAAAAGTAACTTATCTTAAGCCGAAGCTTGTACATCCTTGCAGTTTTCAATTGAATTGAAGAATTAATTCGGAAATTGATCATAACTAAGCTTGAAATATTCAAATTCTATAGTTCGATATTTTTATATGAGAATTTTTCCCACAAATCAAAGCTTAAGAAACTCATAGCTAAGCCGAAAAAGCAATAATTTTAATTCGGAAAGCAGCTATTTTTTATTTATTTATTAGAGTAATAAATCTGCATACTTAAATAAAAAGGTAACAAAATCCAAATTTTTGACAATTTTAACGATGTAACCCCTTATAAAATTTGAAAAAAATTTCAAAAATTAATTTTTTTATCGGACATATCTAGATAGATTCGCCTGTTGAATCCGATCAAGAATATATATGATTTATAAGTTCGGAAATGGCTCCTTCACTCTATAGGAACCTTTTGACTAAAATTATAGGGTATTAAATCAAACATTTACTATAACACATTATTATTAATTAAAATATCTTTATCTTTTAGTTTAAACCTCATTCGGGCCACATTGAGACCACCATCAGCTCGATAACAATGAAGCCCCAATCCTGCGATGACATTCTCGCCCAATATCCTGCCCTGAAACCATATACGGAGAACGGAGTCGTTAATTATGCCCGTTTGGCCAAGTTATTTGAAGAAGTCCGGCATGATCGACTCGAAGAGCATCGGAAATTAATGGGACTTGCTGTTCTAGTGCAATTTATGTCGCAAAAGGTAAGTAGGAAAACCTATAAAATAGCGAGTAAAAGAGTAACGAGTGAGAACAGCGAGTGAAAACCAGCTAGGATCAGTGAGGGATTTGCTGGAAAAGAGGCGCCAGGGATTTATACATAGCAGCCTAGCCCTTTGAGGAAATTTTAGAATATAGAGCCAAGGAGTATAGATACCTTTCCCTGCCTGCCTTTTGTAATTGCTCACATATGTACATTTATTGTCCGGTGCTGATCGGGCTCACCTGCTCTAATAATTCCTGAATTGTCTCAACCATAGGTCTTCCATATGTGAATATGTGCCTCCATTGTTTGAAATATTTGCCTTAATCTATGCTTAAAGTTGAGCTAATTTCGTTTAATTGTGTCAGTGCAGGCTAAGCCGAAAGCCGATGCCCGAAAACCCCTGAAACTGAAACTGAGCCCGGGATGTGGGCTCACTTTTTGTGTTTGCACTAATTAAAAACTGAACTGAACTGAACTGAAAATTCCACACAAAAGTTTGTCCGGGGCCTGGAAAATCCCCAGTTCTCTTGTACCCTTTTGGTCTTGCATTTTCCGCATCGCATCCTTTGTGCCAAAAGCATCCTTTCTCGGGCATAGAATGAAAAGGGTGTGAGGAGCCTGGCACATTCAAGTTCCCGGCTATTCAATTAATTGTTTTCCATTTTCGGTGTAAAGGATTCTGATCGCACAAATGAAAACTCACCAGGACACGTGTGAGATTTGACGAGATTTCGGAGTAGAAAAGCAAGTTAAAAGGATGCTGAAGGATGGGGAATTAGGCACACAGATTTATACATTTTATAGTAACATTTACCTGACATTTTCCTCTAAATGTAATTAATTATTATTTCAATTACCTTAAAAACCAGTTAACGTTTGCATTTCTCCATCATTTCTACCTGCTGCCAGACAGTCCCACTATTAAATAACAATAACAAGGTCATACAAATCAGCGACAAACGCGAAAAACATTAGTTTAACATTTGCATAGATGGCAGGATCCTTTCGTACCTCATCCCAGGCACACATCATAAATCGATTTATGATGACTTCTCAACCACAAAATACTTTAGGTAGAATTTATAAAAGTCTGATTTAAACGAACATGTCGAAGGAGGATTTTTCCAGAGCCTCACAAAATATGCCTTAGGACTACACAGCATTTCCCCAGCATTTCTCTCGTTTGACAATTGCGTAAATCCGTTGGCTTTAGAGCCGCACACAAAAATGTTTGAACGTACAATACGCAGGATAATCGAAACAATTGCCACAGGATATGCTGCCGATTTTAGTCGGTCTTATACAAGCTGAAAAGTGACACAATGCCACAATATCTGAGCGCACAGATGAAAGGATAATTCCTTGTCTTGCCACAATATGCGTCATCAGGTGTTGGCATTGTATTGATGTCATTTGCGTTGGCCATTTGGCAACAATTTCCCTCTTCTCTCTTTTTTTTTGTTCTTTTTCGAAAGGAAAGTCATTAATGTGGAGAAAAATTCCAGAAAATTTCATTCCCTTAAGCTGTATGCCGGTATTTTTGCACCTTGAGCTGGGGGAATTTCAGCAGGACAAAGCGGAAGTGTAATTTATGGAAAAACAGCACAAATTGTGGGGTTTTCTTAAACAAAAAAAAAACTACACAAATTATCGGTTGTTCCTAAACGTATTAAAAAGTGGATCAAGGCAGGATTTTCCAGAAAGAAAGGTAGCCATATAAGATCATGGGTTCAAATTTGCATTAGGACATGAAATAATTTATTATAGTTAATTTTAATTGCATACATTTTTTACAATTTCTATGATGCTACCAAATATCATAACTAAGTGAAAAATTCATTAATTTCAAATCGGAAAGCAGTTCCGTGTTAGTTTTTAGAAGGTTAACAAATGTGCATACTAAATTAAATATTTAAAATAGTTAAAATTTTTGTCAATTTTTTGACAATTTTAAATATTGGAAAAATAGGCAAAAATTTTTATTTTTCCTACATGCCTAGAAAGATTCGCCTGTTGATGCTGATCAAGAATATATATGGTTTATAGGGTCGGAAAGGACTCCTTCACTTGCTTTTAAGCTTCTTACTTAAGATTCAATACCATTTCTTAATCGGAATTAACTATATTTTTATATGAAAATTTCAAGACAATCAAATTTAAAAATCTCATAACTAAGCCAAATAAACTTTAATTTCAATTCGAAAAGCGTTCATATGTTAATTTTTAGCAGGTTAACAAAACTGCATACTCCATTTAAAATGTGAATTTGTAGTCGATTTTCGAACATTTTCATGATGTAACCCCTTTACTTTTTTATCAAAAAATGGAAAATATCTGAAAAAAAATTGTTTTTGCCAGACACGGCCAGATCGATTCTCCTGTTAATGCTGATCAAGAATATATACCCTAAAGTCACCCTTTTGAGGATGTCCTTTGTTCATCTTTATTTACTATTTTATTAAAAACAAATACCAAATATTTATTTTTATTACAAAACATGGCTTACCTTGTATAAATTACTTAAAACATTTCCAACAAACTATTTGCTTTTCGTTGGCGCTTGCACATGCTCTAATGCAATTTGCATATTTTTCTACAACAATTTTTGTATTTATTTTATCCATATTTTCGAAAAAACAAATCCATAGTATTATTAAGGGGAATTTCAGGCAGAGTAAGCCACAATATTTGGCTAACTTGTTGGATGCATCGGCTTCCATTTAGGCCGCAAATGCAAACATGCAACAAACACAACGCACAAGGCGGATTTATTTACTTGGGATGGGAAAATTTTCGGGGAACGAGCCAATCGCGCAATATATTTTCCCACTAAAAGCCTAAACTGATGTTGCAATAGTCCGGAACATAAATATTTATTTAGTTATGATCCAGCGAGATTTCACAGTTGGGTGTGAAAACCAAGGAAGAGCAATCAAGCAAGGTATGCAGGGACAAGGACACAGTCCCAGGCTCGTGTCCAGTTTTATGAGGTCTTTAAGCGAAGGACAATCGGTGTCATGGCAATGCTCCCAAACCCAGATATACATATATATATGTATATACTGGTAGTTTGGAGAGATACATATCGAAAAGGATTAAAAGCAGTCGATCCAGTTCTCTTCATGGCGGCAAGTCACTAATTTCAACACTTTAATTGCCAACGTCCTTGTCAGGTAATTGCCGCTGTCTCTTCGTCTTCGACTTTGGCTATTTTGCCTCCTCTGACTGACTGTCACCCAAAACTGTCTAGATGCCTAGATTGCCACAAAGGAGACGGAGACGGAGACGAAGGCGATGACTTCGACGGAGACAGAGATTTCTCGGAGACAGAGACATGATGACCATTAATTTGCCGGACAGCGACGGCGGCAATGAAGATGATGACGGGCGTGGATAGGCAATTTGGTATTACCATGGTCGGTCAATTTTAATTTGGAGATCAACTCTACTTAGACACTGAGATTGGCGAGTTCTCTAATCGATTTGGACTATCAAAATTACTTTTTAACTAAAAATTACCCATAAGTTTTGTATGCATTGTAACAACCAATGCTAATCCCTTTACATTGATCCCACTTGAGCTGTTCAAGAGCCTGTGCAAATTGCAATTTGCAATACTTAAATTAAATTTGTAACATCCACTCCAAAAGACAAGATCTCCTTCTGCAAGTCAGTTCCTTAAACCTAGGCGCTCAGTTTACTTTGACACGCATCCACCCAAAGTGTTGCAGAGAAGGTGCGCGCCATTACAGTGAATTTGAAGTGCATTCGAGACGCCCCAAAAATCGGTTAAGAGAAACACTAGTCTTTGCCTTCTTGGGCTGGCAGACGTAGACACGCGTGACCAATCCCAAAAACCACATGAATCTGGCTAGCGATTGCTTAAGCCTTCCTTGGGTGGATCCGATCCTAGGTGGAATCCTTCTTCCAGCAATAGGGCGTATACAGCCGCCCCTTTTGCCTTGGCCACTGAAGGATACACCCACCAGATTGCATGTCTCAGTTTTTTTCTATGCCGCCTGGAGGAGCAACCTTTCACCCTTTCCCAGCATGTTGTTTTTTTCCACTCTCTTCGTCTGGTTTAAATCCCTTGTAAATATTTTGCTGTCCATATCCGGAGAGTTTCGCTTGATCCCTGACTACCTGGGACCGTTCCTTTGCTACCTGACCCTGCCTGGCTATATAAACCCAAGGCGTTGAACATTTAGCCATCAGTGTACTACAAGTATTCGTGTTCAACACAAGTCGCAACGCGCCTAAAACCGAAAGCAAAATGTTTGAAAATTTAGTCTTCACCAACGAGACACTATCGGCTCAGACTATGGATTTTGATCTGATCAGTTGGACAGTGCCCAGCACTCCCAGTGAGACAACAACCTATATGGATACCATTAATTTTGATCAGGGATTCGAGCAGGACAAGGTATGCTTATGAAAGATTTATAGAGCTAAAGTAGAAGAAATATATTATTTAATATTATTAAATCGATTATAGAACATCTCAGTTCATGCAGTTCAATATATATTTCTCACCTTAAAAATCAAATATTACAAATAATTTTAAGAACTCAATTAAAAAATCATTAAATTGTATACTCTCACGGGAAATCTAAAAAATTCTCAGATCCTATAAAAATATGAAAACATTGAAATGTTGTGTGGGATTTCCCTAGACAACCTTTGGCCATGACCCAAACCCTCGCGAATGAGACCCTTGAAAGCCATTGTATGCTCTGTGGAAATTCCCTGACTCAAAGACATTGTCTCTGAAACTCAACAGCTTCCCTTTTGTTTGACTTCCGTGCAAAACTCTTGAAGTTGCAATAAAATTTCATTTTAATTATTATTACTACCTGCAAATGACCCCGAAATTTTATAGCGACTTTAACCGTGATTGTTTCTGTATCTTTTCCGGCTTACAGCTAGATACATTTGGCTGCCAGGAGACCAAAGAGCAGTGTGCCCGGACCAAGGGAACGCTGGAGGAGACGATTGTATTGCTTCAGCTGAGCCAGAATGAGTGCGAGCGGCTGCGGGAGGAGTTGCAGGCCAAGGATCTCGAGTGGGCGCAACGTCAGCAGGAACAGGATCATCTTCATCGCACTGAACTGAAGCAAGGTATATATTGAAAATCTTTTAAGCATTGCTAAACAGAAATTAATAATTACCCTTCATTATTCTATAGCGGAAGAGAAAGTAATGGAGGTGCAAATGCTTGCCAAACAAAGGTTCTGCGAATTAGAATCCCAACTGCTGGCCAAGGATGAGGAGAACAAACAGGTGCAACAGGCCTATCACATGGAGGTTTCCAACAAGCTCGCCCTGAAGCAGGAACAGCTGAGCACGGCTGAACAAAAGATCCTGGATCTGCAGAATAGCTTGCAAAAGTCGGAGTCAGAGAAGCAGGAGATTAACGAGAGACTCCTGCGCAAGGAGAACACCCATGCCATCCGCCTGTCCGAGGCCAGTCAGCGGGAGCAAGAGCTCAGCGATCGGGTGAAGAGCCTAACCAAGGAGCTGAACACCTTGAAGGCCAGCAAGGAGCACAACGAGCGTGATCTGAGGGATCGCCTGGCACTGTCCCAGGATGAGATCTCTGTGCTGCGCACCTCCTCGCAACGCCGAAGTCCCTGCACCAGTCTCCCGGATACGGCCAGTGCTGAGGTCAGTCGGCTGACCAGCGAGGCGGACAGCCTGCGCTGTGTCCTGGAACTGAAGCAGGCGGAGATCTCTGCCCTCAGCAAGGCCAAGGCGGAATATATTCGCGAAAGTGAGGAGCGCAACAAGCTGGCAAGCCGTGTTGCCCTCCTAGAGGCTCAAATGAGATGATGCGTACAGAGCTGGAAACCAAAACGGAAAAAGAAAAGTAAATAACTTAAACCTCTAACTACAAGTGAGCAGAAACTAACCTTTTATCTCTCTTCTCCCAGGGAAATACAGCAAAAGATGGACGAACTAGACAAATCCGTCAAATATGAAAGGATAAAGCTTACCAAGCTAACTTTCGCCAAGGAGGAACTCCAGTACCACCTCAAGCAACGCTCTGAGCAGCTCCAAGCGGCCGAGAATAAGATACATGAACTGTCCCTCAGCTCTCAGGACAACAGCCTGCTGAACTCTACACACTCTCGCTGCTCCTTGGGCCGCAGCAACTTGGAGTTCGCCGGCACCACATCTTCGCCCACTTCGCCGGTGATGAAGGGCATGATCGAACGCAATGATTCTGTCAGCTGGACCCTGGAGATCGATGATGAAACGCCAAAGGGTGGTGCCGCAAAGATTGTGCGAAGATCGGGCTCTTTGAGGTGTAACAGCGACCGTTGCGTCATCCAGAGGCGACAGGCTTCCGTCAGTCACAATGGCCACTCGAATGGTGCGACCAGCAATGGTGGCTCATCGCCGGCACATCCCAATCCCCTGAGCCAGAGCATGTCGGCCACAACCCTGCTGAGGAGTGGAGGTGAGCCAGAGGGACATCCCGTTTCCCGGGCTCGCTCCCTCTCTGTGTGCGTCAAGGACGCGGCAGTCTGCGTATCACCTAGCATCCGCCGACCAAGGCAATCGGACGAACTGACACTGCCCGACTGGAATGAAGATGGCCCGATGTGCTCCAGCTCGCCGCAGCCGCAGCAGTCTCTGGAGATACGTCCGCGCAGCTCTACCATGAAGCTAATGTCAAGCGAGGCGAAGAAATTCCAGGAGATTCAGGAGTCTGCCGGTGAGGCCATGGTCTCTGGTGCCAATTCCGAGGACGAGAGCTGCTCGGCATCCTCTGAGGATATGATGCGTAGCTCATCCGCATCCAGCACTGCCTCGGGGGGATCGCTATTCAAGCTTCCCAAGCAGCCGCCATCTCGGATGTCCATCGAGGAGGCGCTACCGTGCACACCGATGGAGGTTAGCTGGTCAGAGGACGCCGGTGCCGATGCCAGCGGACTGGCATGACATGGTGCCTACGAGGAGCCGATTGACCAGATCGGACACATAGACCAGATCGCCGAGGCGGCCGAAGAGGCTTACGAGAGCGAGAACAGCGATGATAGCTTCTAAAGCGAGAGCGTGTGAAACCCATGTTTGTTCAACAAATACCGTTTGCTGATAGCAAGGAGTCGCCACTATGGCCAATGAAGCATAGCTTGGCGTTTTCATTTAGATAAGAGCCGGAGCATATACGATGGAGAGGTTTAACAAAATATGTATCGCTATTCATACGTTCTTAAATTCGTTTATGTAAATATTTGCATTTAGAATCAGCTCATTTATTATAAACAGTAACAATAACTATAACGATACCAATAGTCGAGCACACAGCAAGCGGAACCGTCACAGCAACAATTTTGGGAGGGAAAACAATGAAGGATTTAAAGTAGAGTAAAGTAAAGTAAACATTTTAAAACGGACGGCACAAAGAAGCTACAACATTTTAGATATTTCAACCAGTTTCAAAGTAACAGTAAATAATGGGTAGCATTTAGCTGAAACAGTATGAGTATATTTGCATAGAAAAACAAAACCAGACAACTTATTACTATACAGATACAGTAAACGATATAAATATAAATATATATATATTTGTATGTTTAGCGATATATTATATTGTAATCTAACCGCAACTCCGCAATCGCTGATATCGTACATCCAATCTTCCCTTTGAGCTCAAAACCAACCAACAACTCACTCGATGTCCTTAATTGATAAACCCCTATTGCCCCCGCTCTATTCGAGGGGAAAAGGGTACTTTCCCCGCCACAAAAACATAATATAATTATACCAATTAGAATGTTAGAGGACCTAAGCTTTAATTTTGTGTTTTATATATGAAAATTCTAGAATGTACACACTTGTCGTATTTATTATTATTATTATTATTTAGTCTTTAATGCCGTATAAAAAAACGCGTTAAACAATGAATGCAAGAAATCAAATTAAGTTAGTTTGTACCATCTCGCTCGCTATCTATGTATTTCTATGAATATCTCGTATTAGTTATATATTATATCAAAAAATTCGCCTAACTACATTAGTTTACGTTACGTTTTTAATTTGTTATCATTGGATTGTATCCGGAACATGCGAGTTTTATATGTATAGGTTCAGGATAACACACACACACACAGCAGCATTGTCATTAACTTTTAAGTATGTTATTTTTATTATATGTATGTGAAAGTTTAAGGAGTCCTAACCACAGAAGTTAATGGGTGTACACGGTGCAGAAACCATCCAAAATAAGATGCATAATTATAATACATTACAATAATATAGAAATGAAAAGATCCCATGAATATTTTTTGCTAAATAATTTCAAACCCTTAAAATAAATAAGTAATTGTTTCAAAAATGTATGCCGACTTTTATTTCGTTCAAAATATGCAAAATATACCGGCAAATTCTAGTTTGAAACCATGTATTTAGTTGCGCCATACAACAAGCTAAATCAGTTTTACAACATTGTTGTTGTTGTTGTTGGCCAGCGCGAGGCTTCAATTTTGATATTTTCAGTACGAATTCGATCTGGAGTACCAGGCGAACAGAAAGCAGCAGACGGACGATTAATTTTGGTGCAAGCTTTTTCTTTTCACTCAAAGCTCTGAAAGCTCAAAGCTTTGAGCTTAAAGCTCCGTTATGTGAGCTTTGAGCTTAAAGCACAGCTTTAAGCTTAAAGTAGAGCTTAGAGAGGTTTGCATGAAAAGAAAAAGCTTGTACCAAAATTAATTCACCTTCTGCTGCTTTCTGTTCGCCTGGTACTTCACATCGAGAAATTAATGAATTTGTATTGAAAATGGCCAGATTTGAAGTTGAAGGAAAAGAGCTATCGCGTTCGTTTTTTTGTGTTTTTTCCTGGAATCTTGTAGAGGCAAAATTCAAACTACTAAAAACGCTTCGATATTATCCAATATACAATAGAATGGTGTTATTTTAATATCCACAATATTCATGAGTGATCGTTCTTGGGCGATTATTTTATACATCAAGAGATAACAAATTTTGTGTGTTGTTTCGAGGAATGAAATTCATTACAAACTGTTTTGGCTTACGGACTAATTAATTAAACTAAAATATGCGACAAGTATACACATACGTTACAGATAAGAGCATATAAGATATATTTTTGGTAAGTTGGGACGTCTAGGGCCGTCTGTAGCGTTCAAGGAATGTCGGGGGTTGCTGACAACTCTCCACTATGGTGCACACGAAGCGTTAGGGTGTAATCCAGCATCAGCCATTTAACTGCCCGGAATCGCAGCGACTGTAGACTTAATTTGGACCACAGTCCACAGGCGCTGCAAGACAGCAGTTCGGCAGATCCGGTCTCCTGAAGCTGTGCGTAACTGGGATGGGGTGGAGCGATTCCTTGCGGCTCAACAACAACGTAAATTCATTCACTAAATATGCTAACTAGTTGTCGATGGTGCTCGAGTATTGGATGCGATGTGTGATGATTAGGGGGCGTGCTCTGGGCCACATCCACAATTCTTATGCTATATCTTCCTCTGCCTTAGCCTAGTTGAACAGACGCTTCAGTATGCTCTGGATGGTCTTTAGGGACTGATCCTCGATGAGGAAGGTGCGATGGTTGCCCTCAACGGTGTGAACTTCCACGGGCTTTGTGCAGACCTGTTAATATATGAGAAATTCAATAATATTTGGATTGATTTTAGTTGTCTCATTCGAACGTACCTCCTTGAGACGATAGTCCTCGTCCAGCTTGGCAGAGTTATCTGTGGGCTTGACCAGGGTCACGTTGGACTTGAGCTTCAGCGTGGGCTTGTAGCTGTCGGCCAGTTCCAGTTTCTTGTAGAACAGCTTGGCGGACTTCTTGATCTGTATAATTTAAATAATTAATAATAACGTTTTCCTTTTTTTTAAGTCTGTTAGCAAGGTATTACCGTCTCCACGGGTTGTGTGATCTCATTGCTCATCAGCTCAGCGAACCTCTCAAGTTTCTCCTCCCACGTGGGGATCACCAGTAGCAGTCGCACCAGCTGCAATAAGAAAAATGAAATCATAAGTAACCTATAAAACTGACTCCATAGCTTCGCTCATCCTTACCGCTTTGTAATCGATGTTGGCCAGAACGATGCCAAAGTAGGCAAGGCCGTAGCTCTGGTTGTTGTTATCATCGTCGGCCGTGTACCGCTGCTTGAAGCTGCTCGTGTACCAGTTGACATAAGTGGGTGCTCCGTCCAACATGATCACATTCGCCACCTCGTTTGTCTCCTCCAGAATGGCGGCCATCACGTAGGTGAGCAGGCAGCCGAAGGAGTAACCAGCTAGCTTGTAGGGACCCTTGGGCTGAACGGTGCGCAGTTGCTTGATGAAGAACCTGGCGGCCGAGTCGACGGAGTCGTAGGGCACGGCATCCGTGAACTGGAGACCATACGCAGGCACCTCTAATCGTTTGGCCAGCGGCTCCAAAGCGGACGCAAATCCTTCGATCGGGGAAATGAAAAAGATGGGGCTCTGTTTGCTGGTAGCCGGCGCATTCGTTTCCAGGCGGACGATGGCCTCGGTGGGTATGAGGGCGGTGGTGAAGACGACCTGGGTGCCATCACCCAGCGGACTGGCCGTGCGCGATGACGAACCCGTTGTGAGGCTCACCTCGGTAGGCTTAGCTCCGGCAGGGGCTCCAGCAGCAGCTGCAGCCGCAGGGGCGGCTGGCTTGGCATCCGCTCCTCCATCCATCGCCTTGAGGGCTCCGAAGGTGAGCTGCCGAATCTCCTGGGCGGACATGACAATGTCAAAGTTGCGTTCCAGCGTCTGCTTGATCTCGGCGCTCATCAGGGAGTCCATGCCGAGGTCAGCCAGCGACGCAGCATCCTGGATATTCTTGGTGTCCCGCAGGCCAAGGATGTTGGCAATGGTGGCAATTAGGCTGACACCCGCCGACTGGTCCGACTTGCGCTTCTCGGCCACCACCATGGAGGCAACCACTGGGTGCGGCTGCTGCAGGAAGAGGTCGATGGTCTGCAGGCAAGAGGGCATCCTCTGGGGCAGAGTGCCTCCGATTACGGTATCGTTGTCGCCGAGATTCTCCAGCACCAGACCCGTGTCACCGATGGCTCCCCACTGGATGGCGGTGCCAGGGAATCCACTCACCTGGCGCTGCTCACAAATTCGCTCCATGGCGGAGTTGGCCAATCCGTAGTTGGTCTGGCCAATATTGCCGCGACCGCACGACACGCTCGAGAAGCAGATGAAGTAGTCCAGCTCCGTGCAGATGGTGCGGGAGTACTGATCCAGGAACTTGGTGGCCGTCACCTTCGGGTCCGCCACAGTCTTGAAGTCCTTGGCAGTCTGATCTTCGATCAGAGCGTCGCGCAGTACAGCCGCCAAGTTGAAGATGCCTCCGACCAGGGCCAGCTTGTTACTGTTCTCTAGCAGCTTCTTGGCTCCCGCGGCGGTGGTCACATCGCTGGTATCGATCACCACCTTGACGCCACGCTCCTGCCAGCGACGGATCATCAGTCCCTGGTAGCCGGTCTTCACGCCGGAACGCGAGGTAAGCACAATGTGGCGGGCTCCGCGAGTCACCAACCAGTTGGTCAGCTCCAAACCGAATCCGCCGAGACCTCCGACCAGGATGTAGCTCTTCTCCGGATGCATGTAGGTGCGTGGAATGGCGTTGATGAGGCGCGACTTGGGTTTGACTGCGCTCTTGCTTGCCTCCTCGTCGCGCACCTTGATCACCACCTTGCCGATGTGCTTGCCGGAGGCCATGAAGCGGAAGGCCTGCTCCACCTGCTGGTCGTTGAACACCGAAGTGGGTAGGGGCACAACGGCTCCGCTCTTGATGCCCTCGGCCACCAAGCTGACCACCTGGTTCTGCATCTCCTCCTCGCCCTCCATCACACTGTCGAGCAGGATGCCATGGAAGGAGGTGTTCTTGAGGAACACGGACATGCCCAGCGGGCTGTTGTTGCTCAAATCGAACTTGCCAATCTCCAGGAAGCGTCCATTCAGGCCCAAGCAGCGGATCGAGGCCTGCAGCTTCTCCTCAGACAGAGAATTCAGCACCAGATCCACACCGCGGCCCTTGGTCTCACGCATCACAAGCTGTTCGAAGGAGGTGTCACGGGAGTTGCCAATGTTCTGGGCCTGCAGCTTGGGGAACCGCTTCAGCAGGAACTCGCGCTTCTCCTTGCTTCCGACGGTGGTGAAGACGGTCAGTCCATGGGACAGAGCCACCGAGATGGCTGCCTGGCCCACTCCACCGGAGCCGGCGTGAATGAGGATCTTCTCACCCTTCTTCATCTGTCCGCGGACAACCAGAGCGTAGTAGACGGTGGAG